ATAGGCAACATGAATTGAGAACTTGATTGTTCAAAGATTAATCCGTCCAATAGTGAAATACTAGTTGGGGTGTATGAGCTATGAAAGAATGAATCCTATGGGCTTCGATTGTGAAAGATATACCTTAAGTAGTCTTATGAGATACTTTAAGGTAGGAATGCGTAAATGCTAAATTAAGATAGGGGTAGGCCTAAGAGGCTACTCGATATGAAGTGATCATAAGCATAGAGATTGCTTAGAGACTTAGTAACGTGACTAAGAGCGAGGCTCTAGCACAATGTAGGGTGACTATGAGCGAGGCTCTAGCACAATGTAGAGTGACTGAGAGCAAGGCTCTAGCACGATGTAACGTAACTACGAGCAAGGCTCTAGCACGGTGTAATAATAATAAATGAACATGGCTCTCCTATAATGAAATAATGCGTTAGGGTAAGCCCTAGAAATGCGTAATGATTTACTATGAGTTTACGATAATTGTGACTAGTAATCACGGCAAATAGGGAAGGGTGTTTCTAAATGAACACGGACCCACGGCTGGCTACATAATTGTAGGTAAGTAATTATGTCTTAAAACGGGATATGCCATAAGGTACTAAGGAACCTTCAAGTTGAAGGTTAATGAAAATTGTTAATAATGATTCACCTTGGGTGAGAATTGTCGGATTCACACGCCAAAGAACTTAACCCAACTAGTTAAGTCAACGTAGAGACTTGGAGAAATGTGTACTCTAATGATAGAGTGACACCGGTTAAAACGAAATGACGACGTGAATTTCGGGGACGAAATTCCTGTTAAGGGGGGGTGAACTTGTGACACCGCTCCCAATTTGAACTGGGATTAATTAATCCATTAATATTAAAACTTAATAGAAGTCACAAATACCAATGTCGATGAGGATGACTAGTTGAGTTCGTGAATATTTATTCATTTTGAAAACTAGTTACAAAAATATTAATCATATGAGAAATGATTAATTGATTAAATTAATACCGATTAATTATATTGTGTGTCGGACCCTAAAGAAAATGGGGAGGGACTAACTAGTATATTCTTGGACCACGTTAAATTAGTTAAAAGCCCAAGGATAAGGAAATAAGTTATATACGAATGTTTGGGCCGGGTAAAATGTAAAGGAATAAAATAAAGAGACTTTTCGAGCCACTTTCTAATAATAGAAAGGTAAAGGGGTTTAAGCCCGTAACATTGGAGAAGGATATCCAATACATTTTAGGATCGATCTATTGAGGTCTACTAGCCAAAAATAATATAAGTAAACGAATAAAAGTCATTTGGGTCGGAGTAAATTAAAAAGAGCAGCCCGCGAACCCGACCCAACTAAATTGGCCCAACCTTTCTAAAAATAGATAGATAAGGGAGGGGGTCTCCTTATCCCCTCATTTTGAGAGGTTGTGCGTAAGACACAAAAGGAGGGGGAGGGCTGGAGAGCTCCATACGCACACCACAGAGAATCAAGAAGAAAGGGAGTCAAGAAGAGAAGGAAATCCGATAGAAAACGAAGCCTAACGGTAAGAATCTCGTAGCTCCGGTTCTTGTTCTTCCGTTTAATATATTCTTCGTATATGATTTTATAGAAATCATATGATGGATTCTAGGAGATGTTCTACACGTTTAAAAGTGTAGAAAAATTATATAAAGTGTTGGTATTTAACTTGGAAGGGTTGTGGAATCGATAGGAATCGAAATCGCCGGAAACCGCCATTTCTAGGAGCTGTTTTCGTGCTGCAGGGCCCGAAAGCCGGGCAGCTTTTGCAAAAGCCGGGCGGCTTTTACCCTCTGCCAGCCAAGTCCATTTCGGATCATTTCCGATCGAAGGTTTAACGGAGGGGCTTCAATAGGAAGGCTTGCTGGACATATTTAAGGTGAGGATGACTGACTATATTGTTTATAATTAGTGAGTTAATTTCATAAGATTACCTAAAGTTGTTAAATGTGATTTTCATGGATTATTAACGATTAATAATGCCTAAATGAAAATACTATGGTTTATGAGTAAATGAAGCATGATATACAAATTTGGGAGAAATTGTGTTTGACTATGTGATATGAAAGTGATGACATGATAATGGAATTAACTATAAAAATATTATGATAAAATATACTTTTACTTCATGTATAGAATTCATGAATGGATAAAAGTGATATTCTTGATATTGAGATTAAATTGTATTTGGATTGGAAAATCAATTGGAATGAAATGTTGATTATGAATTAAGAACTTGGTTGTTCTAAGATTATCCGATTAGTATCGAAATACTAGTCGGGAGATTGAGATAAATAAATGATGGAATTAATCCTAAGAGATAGGATTGTGAATAGAGATGCCTTAAGTAGTCCTAAGAGATACTTAAGGGTCGGAATGTATGAGCTCTAAGATATGTTAGGAGTGGGCCTTAAAGGCTACTCAAGGTAAAATGATTCTAGGCATAGAATTGGCATAGGAATCGAATAACTTGACTAAGAGCGAGGCTCTAACAAATGTAGATTGACTAAGAGCGAGGCTCTAGCACAAATGTAGACTGACTAAGAGCAAGGCTCTAGCCTAATATAGATGACTAAGAGCGAGGCTCTAGCACAAATGTAGATTGACTAAGAGCGAGGCTCTAGCCAGATGTAGATGACTAAGAGCGAGACTCTAGCATAAATGTATATTGACTAAGGGCGAGGCTCTAGTATGAAGTTAGGTTGACTAAGAGCGGGGCTCTAGCCTAATGTAGGTGACTAAGAGCGAGGCTCTAGCATAAATGTAGATGGTTAAGAGCGAAGCTCTAGCACGGTATGATAATAAGATTGAGCGAGGCTCCATGATGGCTAAATAATGTAATTAAGAAATGCCCCATGACGGTAATATAATTTACCGAAGGTTATAACAATCGTGACTAGTAGTCACGGGGGAATGGGGATGGGCGTTTCAAAAACGAATATGGGCCACAGGCCGACTACTTGACTTTATATAAAGTAAGTATATTTTTAAAAAAGGGGTAACCGAGGGTTATGGCCTATAATATGATACCACCCTAGATTGAGGGTCTTAGAAATTGAAACATTGATTATACTTAGTATAGTTGTCATTGTACTTGTCAAATGCTTCCAAGTACTGACCTCCCCTTCACGGGGGAGGCCACCTCACAGTTTCAGGTAGGAGTTGAGCTTGCTACCAGTGCCCGTTGCTTCGGGAAGATCTAGGAGAGAAGACGTGGTTCGTGTTTCCTCCGTTTCTGTTTCAAAAACAATTTTAATCATGCTCATGGATATTATTTTCTGAATAATTATTTGGGGGCTTGTATGCCTAATGATGCCAAGTGTGGCTTAAACACTTGTAATATTGTTTCCGCTGCTTTAAATGAATATTTTACATTATGTTTGTTTATGGATGTAATATGTGTGAATGATATTCATGACGCCTTGTATAGTATGGATGAGTTGAACTGCGGTTGACTATTCGTACTATACGGCGGGTTGTTGACGTGTCCGGCTAGGTTCGGGTCGTGACACAGCCCGTTAGCTTCTTTGTAACCCTTAAGTTGGCCAACTTCTCCTATAAAAGGAGCCTAACTTACGGGAACCCTAATTTTGAGGCTTTAGAGAATAGAGGCGCAGAGATAGAGAAATTAGGGTTTCCGCTGCTCTCTCTCTCACTCTCTCTCGAGGGAGAGCAACGACGTTCTACACGGTATACCTGATTCGTTGATTATCTCATATCTTTCTATCTGCTTCTTCTTCTTTATCTGGTTAGATTGTTCGATTGTTAGCATACTGGGTTTATCATAGCAGATTGCACGCGTTCCGCTTCCCGTTCGTCTGCCAAGCGGCGGATGGTGTCCGCTATCTCCTTCAAGTCATTCGGGTCCCGCCGTACTTCCTGGGGGACCAAGTTAGTGAGTACCTCGAAATCCCCGCGAAACCACAGGCTGCTGGATTGGGCCCCTGCTGCCTGGTTGCAGCTCTTCCTGCTGTGAGCCAGCCGCGAAGACAGATTCTGGGAGTTTCCTGCGTTGTTGGCTTCCATCTCACTTGTTTTTTGGTAGTTTTTAGAGTGACTTCTTAGCTGAGAGCTTAGTTGTGAGAACTTTTTGATCAGTTTCCCACATACATCGCCAGTGTTGAGGTTTATTCCCTTCAACCCGTAGGCCCAACACGTAACCTAAGGATCTCGAGTGGGTGATGGACAAGTGAGATTAAGAACAAGCAAAGAAAAGACCCAATAACGAGTGTTTATTCACTGGAACGATTACAAAGCTGAAGGGCCGTTCGTACAGTGCTATGCTACGTGCTGATACAATTCCTATGGTGTTAGAGTGCTAAATTGCGAACTCTTTACAGTGAAATAAATGCTACTATTTATACTGCTAATGGGTGGTTGGATGTGCCGACGTGGCTGGCTGTGGACGACATGATCCCAACCACCAAATCTTCTGCATTAAATGCGTTTCCTGCCAGGATCTTGGTTTCCCTCCATGGGGAGGGGATGTTCGTCCCCAAGACTTTGGCTCCTGTCTCTTGTAGGGGTCCTCTTCTTCTGCCAAGGAATAGGGACGTTCGTCCCCAAGCACTTGAGTTATCCTTGACCTATTCCTTGAGCTATCCTTGGCCTCGTATCAAGGGGTGGGGCCGTCCGTCCCTACATACCCTGCGGAAGTCTTGGGCCTGGACACCCTCTGATCATGGGGTAGGTGCGTGCCTTGGGACATGTCTCCCCGTGGAGGTGGGCTTCCTCCCGAACCAGTGACAGGTATCCCCTCCTTATTGGGCTTCCAACAGGACGTTCATAGGGAAATCTCAAGGGCCCTCTGAGGACGTTCGTAGGAGGCTATTGATGGGTCAGTCCTTGTTGGGCCATTAACCCCAACACTGAGTAATTTAGATTTGTGTAGAAGAGATAATTTTAACAAACAAAAAATTATTTGATTAAAATATAAAATAATAAAGTTAGTGGATAATAAAAAAGAAAACTAAACATTTTTTAAGAAACATGAGAGATTGTACTTTAATATCTTCCAAATTAAGTGATTTGAAGTTATTGGGCTAAAACTGTTTGATCCGGTCCAACTAGAAAATCAGATGCCCAAGATTGGAATAAAGTAACCCTACTTCCGCTACTCATATTAATACCTTTTCTCTTCTGCGTATCGATTCATACGATCTACCATCTCTCTCTCTGCCGCTCATCTATCAGCCAGACGGTCGAGATGGCTGAAGCGCAAAGTGCAGTATGTGTCCCTGAATCAGTATTGAAGAAGCAGAAAAGGGAAGAGGAGTGGGCGCTTATCAAGAAACAAGAAATTCAAGCTACCCGAAAGAAGAACGCTGCAAACAGGAAGGAAATCTTCAAGAGGGCTAAACTGTATGCTGAGGAATATGAGAAGCAGGTATTTTTATATGCTTTTAGTTGTTTTACATCCTTGTGATTATGTATAGATAGTTTAAAGCATTGTGGTTTTGCTTTTTATGTGTCATCTAAGATTAGATTTTGTAATAATGTAGCAAAAGGAGCTGGTTCAGTTGAAGCGTGAGGCAAGGCTGAAAGGAGGCTTCTATGTGAACCCTGAAGCTAAACTGCTATTCATCATTCGTATCCGTGGGTAATGCACGAATAATTTATTGTACTTCTCCATGGGTGTAAGCTTTTGCAGGCTATAAATGTCGTTTGTGTATTCCCAAAACTTGAGTTCAAGATTGCTTGAATTTATTTAGTAACTCACTTCATAATTGGCTTTATAAACATTTTATTCAAATTGAAGTCATGGACTTATTTGGGACTATAAAACATAGTTCTTCAAGCGTGACTGGGCGGATCGGATGGTATAAATTTAGTGTAATTCATGCTTCACTAATAAATGATATTTCTGGTATTGGTAATGCATTTCAGTATTAATGCCATGCACCCCAACACTAAAAAGATTCTGCAGCTTCTCCGTTTGAGACAGGTACTTTGATGAATACTTATCACTTATCCTACAAAATGTTTGTCCCCAAAAATGTTACTCACTAACTGATCTTGAACCTACAGATATTCAATGGTGTGTTTTTAAAGGTTAACAAAGCCACAACCAACATGTTGCACAAAGTTGAGCCTTACGTTGCTTTTGGGTATTGATCTATCTTCTATCTATCTATCTTATTTAGCTTGATTTTTTAGCATATGTTCTTTAATCTAGGCATGCTTCTTCTGAATGATTTGTTCTTGTTCACGAAGGTACCCAAACCTGAAGAGCGTCAGGGAGTTGATTTACAAGAGAGGATTTGGAAAGGTTAACAAGCAAAGAATTCCCTTCACTGACAATTCCGTAATTGAACAGGTAAATCACACTTTCTTTGACTTTGGGATCTGTTTGGAGATATTGGTTAACAGAGCAATGCTATGACGTACTTTGCCTATGCATATATACATGCTTGTACACAATGCTTTTCGGATTCCATAACTGAAAATGTTCATGTAGAGTATATGAATGCATATTATTTCATTCACCTGTTTGTTTTATTTACGCAGTAACATTTTATGTATGAAGTTTCTCTTAAGCCCTTGAACAACTTCCATTCAAACCAATCACAAGATGGTATTGTTTCACAAATTTGAGTGAACTGAATTTATGCTAATTAGCATTCCTTTTCATTACAGGCTCTTGGCAAGTACAACATAATCTGCATTGAAGATTTGGTTCATGAGATCATCACGGTTGGACCACATTTCAGGGAGGCCAACAATTTCTTGTGGCCGTTCCAACTTAAAGCTCCATTGGGTGGTCTCAAGAAGAAGAGAAACCACTATGTTGAAGGAGGAGATGCTGGCAACAGGGAAGATTATATCAATGAATTGATCAGAAGGATGAACTAAGGCATCATTTAGGCTTTTGGGGATTGTATATCATCCTCTTGCTCCTTGGTGTTTTGAGCTTCTGTTTTTATAAATTATTTTGTTAGACTTGATGTTTCATGGAACTGGGGAGAGTTTCTTTATTATTTCTTGGAACCAAGTTGTTAGCATGTTATTGACATTCCCCTTTATCTCTTTTTGCTATACTTGTAGCAGTACTCAAAGTTTTGCACTTGTTTTGAATTTATCATCATGATGTTCTCTACTGCAGGTAAATTGTTATGCTTGTATTTGAGGTAAATTGTTTTTTATTATAATAATTAATCAACACTAAAGATGTTTTTCACTTGAAGACGTTGGAGTGGCTAACAAAATAATTCATGCAGTGATGCAACTCGGAGTTTTTATTATTCACCATACATTTTTCACTTCATCCTCTTGCTCCTTGGTGTTTTGAACCATGCAAAGTGATGCAACTGGGAGTCTCTTTATTATTTCTTGAAACAATCTTAGCATGTTTACATGTTATTGACATTGCCCTTTACATTAGCCTAAAATAGGAGGATGTACAAAAGATGTACACCAAGGACAATGTGAAACCCATATATCGCTGGTTCATCTCACAGTTTTTGTCTTCCCTAAAAACAATATTACAATACTATGTATTCAGGAACTGTTTATATCTAGATGAAGTGTAAGTAATATTCGTAGTTAAGATTGTTTATTTTGTATGCTGAATAAACATTTGAATTGAGTAAAATCATCCATTTTGTATTATTTTTAGATTATAATGTCAATGTTACTTGCATCGACTTTTTATGGTTTACAAAATAATCAAACTTATATTTAGTGATTTATTGAAACGATCAAACTTGCATAAACCATAAAAAGGTATTCAATAAAAATATTATATCAGACTACCAATTGATTTTATGGTTTATGCAAGTTTTTATGAGTTAAGCGATCGAATTGGAGGTGGTAAGTAGCTGTGCAATTTTTTTAATTTTTTGTTGTATATTTATAACAAAAGATGAGTGTTGGGCGGTGAAGCAATGCCACATTCAAAAGATGAGTGTGACCGTGTGGACGATTGATGGCTTTTCTACATTTCCTCCATTTTTTTTCTTTTATCGTTTATCTTACTTATCTTTTTATATTCTTATGTTATTTTTATCTTCTAGCTTTTTTATGCTCTTATTTTTTATCTTTTATCTTTCTTATATTCTTGTGTTATTGTTATCTTATATTTATTTATCATTATTTTATTCATTTTATCTTACTTTTTTCTTCCTTTTGTTGTTCGTCTTCTCTTTTTGGCATCGATATCATAGATCGATTTATGTTAGCGGACCCCAAATTCTTTTGGGTTAAGGCTTGGGTGTTGTTTTGTTATATATTTATATAAGTCGAGTATGACAGATTTTTCATATGTACAACTATAAATTGATGGAGATGTCTTAAATTATTTAAAGCTATTTTCCATTTCTAGGGATATAACTCATATAAGTGGCAATTTGCTAATGTACTTGAACATGACTCTTCTTGAGAAGTGGAGAGATATTTTGATTCATAATATTGTTTAATCACTGAATTTTGAACATGACTCTCTTCTTGAGAAGTGTCAATAGATAGGTAGAAATGTAGATTTGCCACTCAAAAAGGTTCTATATCTTACTTTCTGCTCATTTTTACACCGATATTTGAAGTTGAAACAAAATAAAATTAAAAAATTAGAAATCATATCCCAACGCATTTTGTAGGTGGAGGAACTGAACATGTATGACTTCAAAACTATTTTTATGGAGATTTCTTCCCAAGTTTCCTCATTACTTTCTAGCGTAAACAACTAAAGAGCAGACAATTAAGCAATCCATAAACAACTTAAAGGCTCAATGAATTGGTAAATGAGCCTATGGAAGGTTCTCATAACAAAACGACATAGTTATTTAGACAATAATTAAATAAAGTACTTCAAGTATATTTTAAAAAATAATTTTAATAGGTATATATTATAATGTAGTTTTTTTTTGAAAGAATAAATCATAATGTAGTTAATATTAATAACTGTGATGTTATAAATGTATTATTTTTAATATTTAATTATTAATTTGTCACTTAAGATTGTTATTTGTTTCCTAAAACGGAAATCAGAACCTTTATAGTTTATATGGGGTGTTCAAAAAAGGAAATTGTGAACCTTCATATGGGATGGAAAGAGTATAAAAATAGAGGCATGATTGAGGACCGAAATCAAGTAGTTTGATCCCATTTGGCATCATGAGGCCAAGTCCATGCCCGATTGGAGAACCAATCATCGCTTGTTCGGTTTTATTGCAAAAAACCAGCTTGTCCTAATCCAGATGAAATGGGTCACACCCAAATTCGTACTAATATTTCAAAACAAAAAGAAAATTAACTTGAATTTCTGTGAGGTGAGTGATCTGTTTTACACTGTCTATGATACACAAGAAACCACAAAAGCTAGTAAATGAAATGATAGGATAGTATGGGGTAAGACCAAGGTGTTCAAAGATAACTACAGGCTTCTATCATACAGTCATTGTAGTTTAAAGAAATAGTGTAAAAAATTCACAGTGACTCATCTCCATCTTCTCTACCTTTAATAATAATTTGAGCACCCCGCACATTTCCATTCTGCCACAACTTGAAAAAAAACCAAGCATGAAATGGTTACCGAATACCGAGTAACTCTTGGTTGAAAAGAAAGAAAGAAAGAAAAAGACTCTACCTCTTCGCTTTGCTGAAGGGAAGAACTTTGCCCCGGGGGTGGCGGTGGCGGTGGCGTTTTTGACAAATCTCTCAGAGTTCCCTACAACTCAACACAATCAAACAGCTGAGTGACATAAGATGATTGCCCAACTAGGTGCTCTTGACCTTTAGATCGAGGTGCCTGTGATAGGGATGTGATATCACTGGAAACTTGATCTAATGGTTTAACATTCAGCTTGGTAGCAAATATAAAGCAAACCTAGCTGAGCAGATTTCTAGGTAACATTGTTGCAGTACATGTGCTGAGCAAACAACTCATCACTAATATCACTAAATAAAAATCAATAGTAACCTGCTCTATCTATAACCATAATGACCGTTTAAAGGTTTGATGGTTAGGGAATTTCCGAGGTTTGGTTTTTGTTATCCAACTTGTGCATATATTTACTCTTCAATTACCAAATAGCTACAAAAGAGTATATTAGTTAAATGATGTATTTTTATATACTTTTCATCTTCCGTCCCTTTTAACCATCTAATGCAAGAAGAATCAGGAAAATCTAGAATTTTCATTCCATATTTGCCCAAATCGATGACTTGGGCCCATATTTTATTTTCTTTAAGTTTGCATCCCAGAGTACAGCAAAGTTAAGTACTAAGGTAAAACATAATTTCCAAAGTCTAACAAAAAATGACATTAGTATCCTACTATTGGACGCTCAGCAATGCAAAAGTCAAAAGATAAAATAAGGAGTGAAGTCATCAAATATTATCCCAAAAATAAGACATTTACACTAATCCCATATCAGTCACCTAATTATGGTGTCTAAAAAGTGTGTGAGATGTATGCACACAGAGACATTAGCCCACATGAGATGGCATCGAACAGTAGGTGATCACCTTATTTGCCCACATTAGCCCACATGCATTGCAAAGGGTCCTTGGACCTTCTGGTCCACGTCGCATCATTGGCGTTGATTTCTCACTAATACCACAGTGCCGGCAGCTGCCATGAGAGCATACAAAAAGAAACATTATTCTCCAGGTTCTATTCTTATTTAAATACACTCTTTCTGACTCTGAAACCTAGTCAATCGAGCAATGCAATTCCCATAAGCTTCTCGTGTAGTAATATGGGATCGATAAATGGCTCATTTAAAGCTCTAAGTTTTTAATAAATTAACACTAACTTCCAAATCGAAGGGGAGCCTTGGCACATCGGTTAAGGTGTTAGCTTTGTGACCGAAAGGTCACGGGTTCAAGTCTTGGGAGTGGCCACTTTTTAAAATTTCACAGAGGAAGGCTTGCTCATTATACACTCTTGTGGTGGGACGGTGGGAGTGAGTGGGACCCTTCCCCGGACCCTTGCCTTGCGGGGAGGCCTTCGTGCATCCGGCTACCCTTTTTTAGCACTAATTTCCATATTTTGGAATTTGGAATATCAGTTTTATAACGCTTTGAAACTTATCTTATAATTTAGAGAAAATAACTTTAAATAATGGAAACTATCTTCCATGACCAAGAATAATACGTACTTTGGAAATAACTTTTCATAATACCAACTATCTAAATATAGGCCAAAAGTGATATACAACAATTTTTCACTAAAAATTAAGTTATTTAATTCATCAAAAACTAGTACCCAAATATCAAATAAGTGACTATATTTCCAAATATCATTTATTTGATAGTTTGGTATTAGTTTTTAATGTTTTTAATTACTAGATTTCTTGTCGAAAAGTGACTCCATGTTTTTATACTCAAATAGTTTGTATTATTAAAAATCATTTTCAAAATATGTATTATTATTGGTTTGTGTGTGATAGCTGGTATCATTTAAAGTTATTTTCCCTATTATTTATAAGGATAAAAAATCAAGTTCCGTACAACGTGTTACATTTTCATATCGTGCCAAAATTTTCTAAGCCAAGCTAAAGAAAATTCTGAGCTATCTGATATTCCCATCAACCCAATTTGACCTAAGCAGACCACCAACATATGGACTATCAGACTATGTATTGAATTCAATGCTTACAAAATCTCTTGAGTTTGAATTTGAGATCCGCCCCCATTGGAAGCCCATCCCTGAGACGAGTCCCAGTTTGAAGCAGTTGCAGATTCATCCTGATTGGGTTTTGAAGATGTAAACTGGCCTTTGTTTCGTTGCATCCTACAAACACCACATAAATGTCAACACAAACTACGTCTTTTAAACAAAGGTGCAATGACAAGGCGAACATTTAATAGTATTCTACAAAGTTAAGGACCTGGTTCAACAGACAAAGCTTTACTACAATTAAAAAAATGAAATCAAAAGATGAAGCTTGGATTAATTCAAGAGTGACAAAAAAAATCAGCCCTATATTGATTAACTAACTTGGAGGGGAAGGGGTAGTGTCCTTACCTGAGAGCAACCTCCTTTCTGACAGTGTAACGAATTTTCTTATCATAATTCCGGTCTTTACGCTTTTCTCTGAATCTAATTAATGATGCGATTCTTTGTGGAACGTTAAGCTTCTGAGGAACAGCAGGTACCCCCTGTAAAAAATAACAATCAGTTGAGATATCCAATATTTGATGGGATAGTAGTTCTAAGTTTCTAACTTGGGCATTATTTTGGAAGGTGCTCCAAGTTCGGGTTCTTTCTTACTCTATAACTGTGATTTGGTACAGACATAGGGGTGGTTGGAGGGACCTCGCGTCCACCTAGTAATAAGAGCACGGCTTGCACCTAAAACAAAGAATTTAAGTGAAACAAATAAATAACAGATGATATTAATGCTCTAAAAATGCAGAAGCATAAGCAATAAGCAAGTCAATTATGCACCATCAGCGTAATACGTAGTATGATTTTTGGTAATTATATTACTTCTGAATTTACACTTCACCAAAATACCACCTAAGTACTGCCCTTGGTTAGAGGATTATTCCTGCGTGAGAACATGATATTAAATATTGTGTTTGGTTGATATTGTGAAAATACAATATTATTTCATCAAGAGTAAA